GAGTGGGATGGGATCAGGGTCGGGACAGGGATGGGATCAGGATCTGGACTGGAATGGGATCAGGACAATCGGGACTGGGATCGGGGTTTGGAACTGGGGTGGGATCGGGACGAGGATCGGGATGCCGGCAGAGGGTCCGGCGGGCCGGGCCGGGCTCAGGGCGAACATGGCGGCGGTTCTGAGGGGGGAGCCCTGAGGGACGGCCCCTGAGGGGGTCTGCGGGCACGGACACCCGGCTGGGACGGTCGGTGTCGCGCGGGTCGGACACGAGCCTTTCCTGAGGATAATTCACGTGTTTGTTTATTCTCGGTCTCGCAGCAACCCCCGGGCTGGCAGCGGCGCTGGAATCACGCACCGCGATCCAAATTAGCACAAACCTGCCCGCAGAACGCGGCACAGGCACCGGCAGCCATCCAGGGAATGCTGGTACGGGAATGCTGCGGCACAGCTGGGGTGGCAATGAGGAACTGCAGCCCGGAGTTTAAAAAAAAAATTGCCCTTGTTTCTGTGAATAGAAGAGTGAGAAAGCGGAGCTGCTGTAAAATGCTGAGTGGGGGAAAAATGTCAAATCACGCCGGTACTGAGGCAAAAGCTTTGCTCTGTGTGCTGGAAGCAAGGGGAACGCTCCAGGGAATCCTTTTGTCACCTCAGCAGGCTCTGGCATCAGGCCTGGAGCAGAACAGGACTGGAAATCGGCTACAATTTTGAACAGGCTCAACATTTCTAAGGGCATGTGGTGCTTTCTTATTGTGCTTTTACATCCTAGTCCGATAACTTTGAGTTACAATCATTTTTTTCTATCCTGCCCTACTGAGCAAAAGGAAGAAAACGAACAATTCCCTTGCTGTGTGGCTGGTTCCAGCTCCCTCCAGATGCAAAGCAGCAGTAAACAGCTCTTGCTTCCCTTTAAACTGCCATCTGTGCTCTTTTGGCCTTCAGGAGAAGGTGCTGTCAGGCAGCTTTTCCCCAGAAATAGCCAGTGGTTGTGGTATAACCATCCTCAAAAAATGGCACAACGGACCAGAAACCTGCCAGAACTGTTTTCCCCCCTGTCTTTTCCACAATTACTAAAGACATCATTTCTTTTTCAGGCTTGAAGAAGGATGTCAATAGTCACAGTCCAGCTTGGGCAGTGTGGGAACCAGATTGGGCACGAGGTGTTTTGCTGCCTGTGCAGCGACATCCGTGGCACTCACGGGCTCTGCTCCAAGAAGGAAAACCAATCCTACCAGGATGCCTGCAAGGAGAGGTTTTTCTGGGAGGAGGAATCTGGAGGTACAGCTTTAAAAGGGCTTTTTGTTCCCCACACAGGGTCTGTTTTCAGGACACAGAAATCAAACAGGTCTTTTGCCTTCGGTTGAGGAATGAGTTTTACCTTCAGTCTTGAAGGACTGTTTAACCCTCTGCCCTCACAACACTGCTGCACACATGGAAGCAGAACCAGTGCAGTGAAGGCTGTGAGAAGACAAAGCCAGTTTCCCAGTAGCACAGCTGGAAACAAAACATAGTCTTTCCTTCCAAACATCTGCATTTTCTGCTGTAGATGGATCACACCACAGAGTAGGACCCACAGGATCCAAATTTGACATTATCAAACACACTGAGTGGTTTCTTCCCTGAAAGAGAACTCTGGAGTTCAGTTTGTCTTTGGCACAACACATGGGCATGGCCAGATCTTTTCTGTGCTGCCTGTGCTGTTCCACTAATGGCTTGGATAATGTGGGTGGGAGGAATACAACCTGGGACATGCTATCCATCCAAATCCATCCATTTTACCTAAACATATTGGCACATTATTGTTAATTTTGTTTTTCTCCCTCTGCAGTGCCTGTGGCCCGGGCTGTGCTGGTTGACATGGAGCCCAAAGTCATCAGCCAAACCTTATCCATGGCTACCAGGTCTGGCTGCTGGAAGTACAACAACCAGTCCCACTTCTGCCAGAAGCAAGGCTCTGGGAACAACTGGGCCAACGGGTATGGAGAGCTGCTCCAGGCTTCCCAAGGGAATTGTGGAGGCAAGGGAGCTGTTTACACTCTCTAGGAGTGCAGCTTAGTATGGAGCAGGATTTATTTTTAAGTTAAAGTAGAAATATATATATAGCAGTGTAATTTTTTAACTGATTTTTGCAAGATGAAATTGGTGTTTCAATCACAGAATCCCAGAGTGGTTTGGGTTGGAAGGGACTTTGAAGCTCATCCAGTTCCAACCCCAACACCTTCCACTAGCCCAGGTTGCTCCAAGCCCCTTCCAACCTGGCCTTGGACACTTCCAGGGATGGGGCAGCCACAGCTTCTCTGGGCAACCTGTACCAGGGCCTCGCTGCTTTGCAGTGAAAACATGACATTTTAAAATGGAATATTTAAGAATAGGAAACAATAAGGCCAGTTTATAAACAGCTGTTTTGCAAAATGAACATCACAGCTAAGGATTGTTTAGTGCAGATAGAATGGATGACAGTGCAAGCTTATAGAAGTAATAATAATAATAATAATAATAATAATAATAATAATAATAATAATAATAATAAAATCTGCTTAATTAATAACTTCACCTTCCTGCTTTTCTGTTACTCCCCAGTTACTCTGTCCATGGGCCCAGACACAAGGAATCAATCATGGATCTGGTGCAGAAAGAAGCAGAGAGATGTGACCGACTGGGAGGATTTTTCACCATCATGAGCATGGCTGGGGGCACAGGGTCAGGCCTGGGAGCGTTTGTGACCCAGTGCTTGAGAGATGCTTTTCCAACCTCATTTATCCTAAACCACGTTATCTGGCCCTATGGCACTGGTGAGGTGAATGTCACATTACCTTTTTATATAGAATTATAGAGAATTTTTAAGTTTATGATCACTGCTTACTTTTAAATAAAATACCTACAACAGAAATAAGAAGGAAAATAAGTACATTTTACTTTTTTACAAAGTTCAAATGACTAAGTAAGACAGCTAAAGGATTGTTTGCCTGATGTTTGGTACGTGTGATTTCACCAAAACAAATTCTTGATAATTCAAGTGCTGAAGTGCTGCAGTTTCACAAGAACTAGAAATCTCCTGTTGGGATCTTATCTCAGCAGTACAATCAGTTCCCAGGTAGATTTTGTTCCAGCATGTTTGGATGGAGAGAGATGGATAACCTGATTTTCATGGGTCTTGCCCTCTTTCCCTGGAAAAGCTCTGAGCTCCTGACCTCATTCTGCACTCGGGCAAAGAAAATGAATCACTTCCTAAATCTCAGCTGAGGAAACAGCAGCAGCCAGAGGATTATAAATTAGAAAGGGATTAAGTTTGACTCTGATTTGTGTGGGGTTTTTTGTTTGTTTGTTTGTTCCCAGGTCATTGTTCAAAACTACAACTCTGTTTTGACTCTGTCACATCTGTACCGGTCCTCAGACGCCCTCCTTGTCCACGAGAACGATGTCATCCACAGGATCTGTGCCCAGCTGATGAACATCAAACAGATCTCCTTCAGGGATGTGAACCAAGTCATTGCACATCAGCTGGGCAGCGTTTTCCAGCCCGTTCACCCAGGAGAGGGGGGCTCAAACTACAGCAGGAACCCACTGGGTACCAAACCATGTCATTCACACACCTCTCTCTAGTCAGGTCAGGGGTGAATTGAAGTTCTTCAGTCTCCTCACTCAACTATTTGGGTACATCCCAAGTTTTCAGGCAGGCAAAGTGGAGGAAAAGACAAATTTAGGAAGTTCAATCCAATCTCAATGTTGTAGCAGAGTCAGAAATAAACCCCCCAACTTCTGCTTTCATTCTTCACCAGAAGAACCCTGTTTCTGCTTTTCCAAGTGATCACAGACACCCTTGTACCTATTTACAGACTTGTGCAGGTCAGTGCTTTTGGGCTGAGCTTCACCTTTCACTTGGGGTCAGAAACTTGTATGAACTGAAACAATCTGAAAGTTTTGTGTTTTGCTCAGGCAGAAAACAGGTGAGCAGACAACTTGGGAGCAACAGGCTGGTGTTTATACCCTCAAGGAATTAGAGAAAGTTACCCAAAATTAAGCTTTCCCATCTGTCTGTCGATCTCTTTAGCAGTGCCCAGAGTCGTGGAGATTCTGAGAAGTGAGAAAAGTCTAAATTGTAAAATCAGAGCTATTAATTTAGTAACACAGAGCAAGTTTGCATTGCTCTGTCTGAAATTGCTAAACCTTTGTAACATTCCTCCCTCTCTCCTCCTGTTTTAGCCACCCTGGGCAGTGTTTTTTTGTGAGCAGCTGTTGATTTCTCCTTCCAGGAGACTTGATGGAGACGCTGGTCCCACATCCCGAGTTCAAGATGTTGGGTCTCCGGAACATTCCTCAGATTCCTGAGAACTCCCTCCCCTACAGCACCTTCAGCTGGCCTGGGCTCATCAAACATCTGAGGCAGATGCTCATTGCTCATGCCCAGATGGAGGAAGGTACAGAGCATTCCCTCCCCTCTCCTCACTCATTTCTCCAAGGGAGATAAAGCTGATTGTTTAGTGCAGCTCCCTTCAGTCAGTTCAGAGCCCTCAGCAGGAATTTGCCTCCAGCTGCTCCTCAAACCATTCCCTCAGCCTGCTCCTGCCTTTGCTTCCAGCCATCTCAGTTAATTAGAGCCACTGAAAACACAAACCAAACCAACAGTTTGTGGCTGTGCACTTAATTTACATCCTTCACTTGGAACATTCTTTGGGTTGGGATTTCTGTGTTTTCTTTTTACACCTTCTACTCATGAAAATGCTGCTCAGCTCTCCCCTATCATTTACATGGGAATTCAGTTATAGCTTCCAGTTATGCAGGGAATGGGCTGGCAATTGCTAAGGATAGAAACAGGTATCATTTTCTCTGCTAGACAAGTGACTACCAGGAAAATACTGCTGGATTAGCACTGCTTTTCCCTGGGAACTGTGTGATTGCTGCTTAATTAAAGTGCAGCAGCTACAAACTCCAGTGTGGGGCACAGTGATAGTTCCCATCTGCCTCTTCAGCTATTCCAAATCCACATTTCACAAACATTAACTATCTCTTCTGTCTTTTTTTTTACCAAAATCTCACAGGTATTGACTGGCAAGTCCGACCACCTCCTCCAGGCTCCTCCACCCCCTCCAGCCATTCCACAAAGAAGCCACTGCACTTCAACACTTCCATTGCCAACCTGGTTATCCTGAGAGGAAAAGATGTGCACAGCGTGGACTTGGGTAAGGAGGAAAAGCCCCAAACCTCAGGGGTTCTTGTTTCACATCTCTCTGGTTTCTTTACACCACATTTGATCCAAGTAAAAAAACCCCAAGGCCACTTGTTTGGTTACTAAAGGTCAATATTCCCTCTAGAAACAGTTTAGTGTCCAAGGCCACGTTGTCCAACTGCTTTGGGCTGTTGTCTTTGCAGCAGCTTCCTGAAGCACTTCAGGGCAGGAGGAAGAGCCTGTAATCTGTGTATCTGATGCAATTCTTGGCTTTATTGCCTGAAAATACATTTAGCTGTTTCTGGAGTGATGAGCATGGCTGGCAGATGCAGTACTGACACAAGAGAGCACTTCTAGATAATCCAAGGGGTCTGTTTCAAAGTTCTGTTTTCTGCAGGCTGATCTCTGCAGAGTTTTCCCAAGGCCTGAACTGATCTGCCAAGCTTTGATTAGGTCACACAGGATAACTGGGATCAAGATGCAGAGGTTTGCAGCTTTACATTTACCAAGAGGGCTGTCTTATCTCTGCTCCAGGAAGTTTCCAAGATCCCTCCCTGTACACATCATGGCTAAAACCTCAGGATGCTTTTAATGCCTGGAGAACACCAAGAGCATTTAACAAGTATGAAAAGTCTGCCTCTCTGGTCAGCAACAGCCAGTTCCTGCTGAAACCTCTCGACAGCGTTGTGGGAAAAGCTTGGAATATGTTTGCTTCCAAGTAAGTGAAAAGAGTCATGCTGAGACTTCACTAATAACTGCCAGTATCTTCAGTGGGAGAGAAATCATTGTAAATAAGTGAGACCACAGATTGCAGTGCTCTCAGTGTATTTTCTCAGTCCCAAAACTCCCCAGATTTAGTGCATTCCAATTTGACCATCCTAAAAATAACACACAGAAGCTCTTTTGCTGATGGTTTAGTTTCCAGCTTGTGGACAGGCCTGGAAAAAACTTCCTGGCTCAGTCAGCAGCACTGAGGGGATTGGTGTGTATTAATCACTTCCCCTTCCATTTCCCACTGAGCCCAGGTTTTTTAGCTGCAATTCTGTTTCCTCAACCAATGCACAGATATAAAAACTACTGGAAGCAAGTCAGGACTTACTGATCAGTAGGAATTACAAAATGAGTTTGAGGGAGCACAGTAAAAACTCACCAGCACAGTTATAGAGTGGAAACCAATCTTGATTTGGGGTTTTCACAGTAAATATCCAATATGTGTCAGATTCCCCCCTGATTTCCAATGTCTTACCCATCCTTCCCCACACAGAGCTTATATTCACCAGTACACCAAATTTGGAATTGAAGAGGAAGATTTCCTGGACAGCTTCACAACCCTGGAACAAGTTATCTCCAATTACACCACCCTTTGATTTTATTTCTTTTAAATGGTCAGAAATAGAGCTTTTACCTGAAAGAACCCAGCACTGGAAAACCTCCCATTAACTTCCTGAAGTATGGAAATGTCTGGGCTGGAGCTGGTTTTCAGTCTTGAAAGCAGTGTGTGTGTGTGTTAGAACAGCAAGAACTGACTCTGAGCTGAATATATTCCTATGGCAGGTATTATTCTTATTTAATATATCTAATAAATATCTATTTTTCAATACATTTGCTATGCACTGTAGCTACCTCTCTGAACATAATTTTTGGCACTTTAGTATAAACTATCATGAATTTTCATTGTAACACTTTGCCCAAAGAATGCTTTAATGCTGATAAAACAGCAGTGCCAGGATTATTAATCCAAGATCCATTTGAGACTCAAGATACAACACTGTGGCCCCTGGGCCTTTAAAGCAAAATCAGGTTAAATTAGATTTTAAGGACCTTAACTTTGACCAAACAGCAAAAGTTTTGAACCATCTGTTAAGAGAAATACAAAGATTTCTTCATTTTCCTGTCATCCTCAAGTTATATTAGAGGTTATAGTTAATTAAATCCTTTTCTCACCATTTCCCTGTGCCTAAAACTTTGGAAAATAAATCCCTATAGCACAGCAGAGGCCTTGGCTCTGTTATACACACACCACATTTAAGCAAAACAACTGCTCTTCCTCTATGTTAGAACTTAATTAATTCGTTATTTATTTAAACATATTTGGCAGGAGGATGGCTGCTAGATTTCAAATAGAACAGGACACAGCAATATCGTATTTAATACATTTTTAAATTTCAAAAGGCAATTTAAGGAATTGTCTGGGGTTTTTTTTTTTGCACAAGTTTTACCACGACCACAAGGTGGTGCCCTGGAAGCTGCAGCTGCACCAGCCTGGAAGGAGGAAGGGATTGAATCCCTTGGGAAAGGCACACACACTGAATAAAAGAAATATATAATATTTATATATTTCTTATATATATGTATATATATTATATAATATTTAAATTTATATAAAATAAATATAAGAGTATATAAATATAAAATAAATATAAGAATATATTAAAATAAATATAAGAATATATAAATATAGAATAAAAGAGTCCAGAATTAAGGATTATGTTGTAACACCAACCTTCCTCCTGCCTCTGTCAGCTTTTCACTTAATGGCAGGGAGAGTTTGGGGAATTCTTGCCATTCCTCCCCCCCCCTAGAAATAATCCCACAGGCTAAAAAATAAAAGAGTTTAAAACCAAATCAGTCTCAGGGACTTTTCCCTTGACAAATTTCACATTTTAGAGCGTCCCTTTAGGTTTTTAGTGCCATTTCTTGCCAGGCCTTGAAACTTTTAACTGAAAGATGGCAGCTCAGAGCTGGGCACTGCTCTGGTCCAAAGGGATTTTTTGGGGGTGTTTTTGTCCTGTTCAACTATTGTCTAATTTGAGTATTTTCCACAGAAAGAAACTGGAGGAAAGGTTGCACAAGCTGAGACAAACAGCACAGGCACTGCAAGGAACAAAGGGTCAGGAAAGGAGACCCTGGTGAGCTTCTCCCTCCTGCAGGAGGCCCAGGATGTTCAGCCACACAGACACCCCTGTCCCTGGTGTTCCCAACAGATCCCAGGCTGATCAGAAATGGGGAACTGCACGTCTGGAACAAGGGCCAAGTCCCAGCAATGCCTCCTCCTGTCCCACAGAACAGGTAAATGAGGTGTTTAAAAAGCTAAAGGCAGATAAGTCCTCTGAGAAACAAGGAAGAGAGCAAAGGGTTATTGATCCAGCAGCACCATAACCCACTTTATTGCAGAAATAACCTGTTATCTCCGTGTATTTATAATTCTGAGCATGAAGCAAAGGCAGCAGGTGCTCAGTGGATGACACAGCCCCATATTTATCAGTTATGGCTCATGGGATTTCCAGGTAATGCAGCAGGTTACTGGAAGGGGTTTTTTTTTGTTTAAGTTTGATGGCAGGATTGATGCCATGTCAGGAAACACAGCACACAGCTGAGATGCACAACCCCAGAGCAAAAATGAAGATTTCCTTATTTAACAAAAGAAAACAGAGAGGGAAAGGTTCTGCAGCTCACAGACACAGCCAGGCCAGCAGGGTCATCACTGCTTAGCAAGGGCTGCTCTGTAAGGACTTGTTCACAGTCAGGATTCAGGGAAAACACTCCTAATTCCACGTGAAAACAACATTTTTAAAAGCAGCAATAGAGGATCACAACCATCAGCCAAAGTTTGACGACAGAGGTTTCTCAAAAATATTAAAAAAAAAAAGAGTTGAAAACAAAAGTGTAAATGTTGCATTATCTGTTATAATCCCCTCCACTGCTCTGCCAGAGCCTGACAGGAGCTGTTTGAGGCATCTCTAGGCTTCTTCCTGTGGCTGTTTTTCACTGCTGACCTCAGTCCTGAAATTCTCACACCCTTTCCCAAACCCAGCCTTCAGTTTTTGATCTATGACAGGATTCCTCTGGGTTTTTTTTTTCCCCAGGATGTGCAGAGGATCAGAGTGGCAGGAAGTGAATAGCTGGTATCAAAGAGTCATAATTTACACTTGTATTAGAAGGTGGAGCAGTACTTTTCTATTTTATTGATAAAATTAATCACGGGGATAGTCAGAGCCTGGAAGAGGGCCTTTATTTCATTAGCAATTAAAGTTAATGAGGTGGATCAAAGGTCAGCACAAGCCAATGGCTCAGTGACAGGAACAACAGAATCAGTGGCCTTGACCTTGCTGGTTTTAGGCAAAGTCCCCACAGGATGTCCATAAACCTGGAACAATGCACCAAACCTCACTATTGTTGTTGGGAGGGACAGGTGCAGCTCACTTGGAAGTTGATTCAAGGACTCCAACTACAGAAAAAAAACAAACAAACCCAAAAAAACCCAAACAAATCACCAAAAAAATTCCAACCCAGAAACAAAAACCTTCAATAACCTAAAATATTTTAAACACAATAAGTGGCAAGTGACAGTAGTTAATGTATTTATAGATATGATTTATTTGGCTATAAGCAGATATTGGTTCTTTAAGGTCAGACTCACTACCAGTATGGGAAGGATAAAACTGGGGGTAAATATATAAGGGGGAAAAAAAATCTGTGGTTCCCACACCAACCAGGAATTTATCAACATGAAAGTTATATTCAAATTACCAGCTGATACACTGCTGGGAGAAATTAAGGTATAAAAGGATGAATTATTCACTTCCTTCTGCATTTGCTAAGAAATTTAGTCTGGATAAATATTGTGAAGTGAGAGACTAAACATCCAAAAAGAAACACTCTCAGATGAAGAAATGTGAGTTTTGCTGGACACCACTTTAAAACCTGTACAGGAGTCATCAGGGAAGTGATTCATGGATCCGATTTAGCACAAAAAAAGCTTCCAAAAGGAACTGAGCTGCTGCCTTTCCTCCGCTGCTTCCAAGGGCAGCCCGGACCCAGCTTCGCCAAGGCAGCAAATTCCAGCTTCCTGCTGCAGCCTCTGCTTCCCACCCCAGCTCTGCCCACGCTCCGGACCCTCGGCTTTGAACCGGCCCGGCCGCGGAGCTGAGAATCCCGAATTTTACCCGGGGAGCTTTTCCGGCTCTTTCAGCGGAGCCGCAGCTCACAATGGTCCCTTCGGAGCCCACATTGTGCGGGTCCCGTCCCTCCAGACGGGCACTTCCCCTCCGCGGGAGGGGACGTGAGTCACACACGGCCGTGAATCAGCACAACCTGCCCCTTAACCCTTTCCCTCGGCACATCCAGGAACCCCTTCCCGGGGCTCTCCAAACAAATCCTCCTGCCAGGCCCAGGGGAGCACCCTGGACAGGGTGAAAACGGCCTCAGGGAGGAGATCAGTGAAGCTGCTCCTGCTCCTTAGGAAATGGAAAGGCGGTTTTTAAAATAAATGTGTCCCGTGATAAAGATCATGGAAGAAATCTAAACCTTAATTAAAGCCTGAGAGGTTCTAAACTGTGACTTCTAGCAGAGGCACAATCTGTACTTATCTGGGTGAATTAGGTGCTAGAAACCTTCTCTTAGTCTTAAAAAAAAAATTTAAAATACACCCAGTTACACAGTAAAATAGAAAAATAACCAAAATGAGGGTGCTCTCTAGGCCCAAATTCCTATTTTAAATGTAAGAGTAGTAAGCAGAGAAGCTAACTAAAAGAAGCCACTGGTTAAACCAAAAAAAGGCAGAATGAACGTTGCTGGGGCTTTGATTTCACTGCTCGTGGTGTGTTTGCATTAAATGGGTGTGTCCTGCCAAACTGAGCACTGACCGTGTTTGGTTCCACGTGTTTATTTAAGGCTCAAAAAATAACACTTGAGCTGCCTGGGAATGGTGTCATTGTGGTCATGGCATGATTTGAGTTGAACTTCTGCCCAGCAGCCTCCAATCTGTGAGAGATCATCGACAGCAGCGTGGCAGGGGAGCCAAATGGAAACCAGTCCCATCCCACTGGAGGTGGGATCAAATCCTGGCTGGGCTTGGCTGGAGCTGCAGCCTCAGCCTGTAGCACTACCTGTGAGTCAGCTAAGTCAGCAATCTGATTTATGTTGTTATTTGAAGTTAAAGGCATTAATTTGGCAACCAATATCCAATTAAATGTTTCTCCCAAGAAGAAAGCTTCCATTCCCTCCCTCCCAGCCACTAAACTCAGAGTTTCACCTTATTTTCCTCTATAAAGATTTAATCAGGCTCCTCCCCAGACCCAGAGTATTCTTACATAAAAACAGATCCAAGCCTGTGCTGGGAAAGGAGAGCTCGTTCTTCAGCCACCTTAGGAAGGGAACACGAACATGTGGGATCTTCCAGCTGGACAAAACTTCAGTCAACAGGCCTGGACTTGTCCAAAAATCACTGTACTGAGGGCAGAGAGAGCTCTAGTAAGGACCAGGGGAGGAGACATCAGGGACAGCCTTAGCCAAGGGCTCTCAGGCTCTTCCAAACAACACTTAACCCCTTTCCTTATTCACTAATTGGAAGGATCTGTCACAGCTGGAATCTGTTGCCAAAGGATGTGGATTATTTGACTCCTCTCAGCAGCACCTGCTCCTCTTGGGCAGCCCCAAGGTCTCAGTTGCTGCTCGGTGGAGTTGCCACAGGGTGGCTGTGCACAGGCACCAGTGATTAAATCAGGTTTGGGTGGAAATTAAAGGAGGCAACAGCACTAAACCCACCAGTTGGATCAGCACACATCCAGCAGAAATACTGCTTTGGACATTTCTTTGGCACCCATGAGTCTGAACTCCACTGAACACCAGCTCCAGCCATCCTGAAAGTGTCTTCCTTGCTGCTCCTCAGCTGGGCCCTCACACAGGGACCCGTGGGATTGGATGTCACAGGAGCTCAGCCGGGCTGAGGACAGACCCACAAATCCAGAAATATGAGCAATGGAACCTGTTGTTGTGAAAATATCCTGAATATTCCAGCTCTCGAGGAAACAGCTGCAGCAAGAGGCACTGAGAGCAGGGTGGTTTCTAAGCAGGCCAGAGAGGTTTTGTGAAAATGGCAGCGTTTGTTATGTTGCAAATCTAAATGTGTAAATCTCTGCAGGTCCAGTTTCTTTTGGACACAGAAAAATGCTGAGCACACAAACCTGCTTTTTCAGTCACCGGATGGAAAGGGCAGTATCAGGAAAGCCACAGTCCCTCAAAATTCCATTTCTGCATTTCAGTGTGGGCCTTGAACAAGGTATTGGTGTGTTTTAATCAGCAGCAGCTTCTGTAAGAGAACTGCCAGATTTTTTCCTGGGAGTGGGAGGAGAACAGAGGTACCATGAGGTCACTGCATGTGGATAGAACAAGCTTTGGGAATTGCATGGGATCTCTTGGGAATTTCTTACAGGTGGGGCCAGTCAGAGCTGACACCTTCCAGTGGAAGGGCTTTGGACCTGGGAAATGCCAGAGATCAGCTGGTCCCCAAGGAAGGGAAGAGGTGACACCCTACAGCAGATTGATGTGTGGTCACAGCCTCATGTAACACATCAGTGCTCCAAGGATTTGCACCAAACCCGGTGGATTGTGCCTTAAATCCCGTGGGTGAAGCACAGAGCCCTCCCGGGCTGGGCCCCTCCAGCAGGGCCAGCACAGCCCTCTCCAGACACTCCCCAGAAACACCAACTCCCCTTTTCCAGGGCCAGAGGAGCCGGGTGTGGCCACAGGGCCGTTATCCCAGGGAACAATGTGAGTGCCAGCTCCCATCTCCCGCCTTTCAGCAGGAAGCAGCTGCCAGCTTCCTTATTGCCAGCTGCCAGGGCAACTCAGTCAGGCTTCTTGGAAAAGCAGAGGAACAATGACCTGGGAGGAACTCCCCTGAAACACAGAGGATCTTCACACTCACCCACATCTGAGCAGCTCCTCAAACGAGCTCCAGAGAAAGGTGACCTTTGATTTTGTGCTCATGGAGCCAATGCTATAATAATAATCATCATCATAATAACCCCCCTCAGCACGATAAAGGGCAGTGCTAAAGCAAACTAAACCCAAGCTTGGCCCTTCCACAGGTTACTTTGCACCTTTGTTTCACACCAGTAGCAGTGAATGAGCTGAATAACCTCAACATCCCCTTCCCTTTAAACCCAGCACAGGCAACAGTGAGCTTTGTTGACCAAAATCCCCTTTTTCTGAATTCCTGACACATTGCTGGGCTCTTGCTGTTTGCTTGTACCTGGGAGGTGACATAACAGCAGGGACAGTTTCTGAGCTCCTTTCTCTCCTGACAAGTGCCCCGGGCTGTTCAGCCTCTCCCTCCACACCACTGCCAGAGCATTGTTCTGCTGCCTCTCCCAAAAGCAGAGTGGATGCATCAGTAAGCAAGTGAAATGGATAAAGAAATAAATGCCAGCATTCTGTGCCCTCAATTAGGCACTTGAATTAGGGAGGTCACACAGAAGGCTCAAAGAGTTTCTCAGTATAATCCTTCTAAAAATGAGTTTGCCAGAGCACAGGCAAATATTTGCCAGAGCATCAGAGGGTGTTTCACGGAAAGGCAATTGCTTCACTCCCTGTTTCCTGAGGTTACAGGAACCCAGGAGGCTCCAGCACTGATCCCTCACCTGCTCCCACCAGGGGTCACAGCCCAGCAGGATTCCCTCCCACTCCCACTGAGGGCTGCAATTTGAGTGAAGTACTTTTGGGTTTTTCTTATTCCCTTTCAAAAAAAAAAAAAAATAAATCCAAAAACCCCCAAACCTTCAAATTTACAGGAAAAACCTCCAGAATTTTAAATCTCAAAGAGCCATTTCAATTGCCTTATCTAAAATCACATTCAGCCTTTTAACCGCTGATTACAAAGTATGTTTTAACCACGTGCTTCAAAGGAAACCGATGGCTTTTACCTCCCAGGAGCACCCCCAGCCCCCACTTATCTTTACACCTGCGATCAATTTGGTTCACTAATATTTATATTTGTGCTTGATAATCAAGGAAACATCCCCAGCGCTTGTGCCTGCGGTGACACTGTGACAAAACAAATCCCGAAAGCCAAAGGCACAGCAGGGAAGGACTCTGGGGCCCAGCGTTAAGCCCCTGTCAAGTGTTAATGACAAGGACCTTTTAGCAGGAACAGGCAGCCGGGGGAGTTCAGAGGGAGCTGCTCGAGCAGAAACACAGCAGGACACCGGGACTGAGGGAAGGAGCTACAGACACAGGGAGCAGGAGCTTTCCTGGCTGTTTTCCAGCGTGGAACTGGAGGATTTGACCTGCCACGGGCTCGTGGCTCGGCTGGCACGGGCACTGTGACTGAGCTGCACTGACCCCAACAGTCCCCAGTGCTGGGGCAGGGCAGCTCTGCCACCTTCCTACCGCCCTCAGGGAACACCTTCGGGCAGGAAAATCAAGAGGAGGAGGAGTTTCAGCCCTACCTGACCTGAGCTCTGATGTGCTACTTTCTATTTTCCTCTCATGAAAGCAAGAGAGCTTCAGCCACACCCCACAGAAGACGAGACTGAAAAAATCTCTATCACATCAAAGTCATCTTTGAGGTTTAACCAACCAATTAGTTGCTGTTACTTCCGTGTGATTTTCAGTAACTCCCAGAAAAAAAAAAAAAAGCAAGATGCTTTATTCAGTGTCTAAACTGAGAGACAGCAGCTAAAAATAGTGACCTGTGCCCAGACTGTCTCTCCTGCAAGAGCTCCCCTTGGATTTGTCCCTAACACACTGAAGGAGATGACTGACTGCTTCCAATGCCTGACTAAAGATACGGACAGCAAAAGGAAGCTGTGGAATTAGGGAGCAGAATCCATGTTTTCAGGTGAAATGCTGAAAGACTCCAGGTCTCTGAAGCCACAAAAATGCAGCTGCAGATGTGTCTTCATTCCAGACAACAAATGTCACAGTGTTAGCAACCCAGTTCAATACAGAGTGGAAACAATCCAGCTGAAATAAACACTGGGAAACATTATTTCTTTGTTTATTTAAGCAAACATAAAACTATCCATTGAAAAATCTCATTAGTTTTACTTTCATTTCTATGATATTTTTTTTACCTTTTACCAAGTCTTATCATCTCCCAGCAGCTGAACAGGTAGGAGCAGGTAGAACCATCAGCTCCTTCTTTAAATAAGTGTTAGAAAGCTTCAGAATAACAGCAGAGCTTATTGGAATGGACACATGGAACACAAGCTGAAGAACAACAGACATATACATATTTCACACTATATGTATGTAAACATATTGAACTAAAAGTGGGAGAAAGCTCTGTTTTTCCAGGGATTTTCCAGCAGGCAAGAGGCAGGATTTTAAGGAGACCCCCAAAGGAGCAGTTTATTGGCTCAGGCTCTGGGAAGAGGGTTTTTTTCTCTTTTAGTTGTTGTTACAGAGTCTCCTCATCTCAGCCTGAGGGCACACAGGTAAATGTGTCACCCCCTGCCAGGGAGA